ATTAATTAATAAACATTAGATTTTAATAATAACAGTAAGGAAAAGGTCGAGATTAAACATTATGAATTAGTCGATGAATTGGAGAATTTATAAACCACCAGTTTTGGCTAGCCAACTGAGGTTTATATTGCAATAATAATAGTTTATTTAATTTATTTAATACAAAAAAAATTATAACCTATTAAATTTATACTGTATGTAGTTTATGTTTAGATAAATATTCGTATAATATAGTTATAAATTTACTTATTTTTAATATATATATAAAGTTTTAAAATGTTATCATCATAATTTTATATTACATGAATCAGCAAAACCTAATAAAATCATTTTAAGTTTATCATTATTCGAGCAAATTTTTAAGTGGAGGTCCGGTTGGTACTTACATTAATGTAAAAAAGAAAGAACAACTGTCACTATTTAATGAAAGAATATCAGAGCATCATATGGATTCCATTCCATATTTGTCAAGGAATATATTTTAATATTAAAAAACAAAAATAACGCCATACCAATTCGTACGAAAACGGTCTAAAGCCTACTCAAGGAATTTTTATATGTGCCATGCATCAATTCTATAGTAAGTTATTTATACACATTGTTGAAATATCAGCTGCAGAAGTAAATTTACCCTATCTATGAATTTTTTGCAAGTCTGCTGCGCGTTGAAGATACATTCAAGTAATTATTATAATTTTTATAAAATATTAGTTATGTAAGTAAGACTAATTTTCTCTCCAGGAGATATCATCCAGATCTATTTAGATTATGCTATTTTGTAACTTCCTATGTGAAATTGAGTTATGTCTTATTCATTCCACAATGAGTTCCAAACAAAAATATGATTATGCAATCTGGGTGGTATCTCCAGGAGAGAAAGTTAGCAAAACTCTTGATTATTTATTATTATATTTTGGAATGCTTATCTAATCATTCCTCCATTTCGTAATTATTAACATCTATTTCTGATGACGAGTCAGAACTAAATGTTTCTACCACTTTATCTAATTTTTGAATGTTTTTTTGGAGATTTAGTTGCTCTTTATGGATATCTATATCCATGTTTCTAGTTTTTTTTTGTGGCTATTCTGTTTCGGAATTATTCGATTGTGAGATTTAGGTTTTGAAATATTCATTATCTTTTGTGAGCTTGAGTTTCTTGTTGAGTTACGTTCTCTAAAGAATTAACTTTAATCAATGCACAGTCGAAACCTTAGGTCATGTAATGTTATTTGATTTTCTCAATTGTCTATCATGCACTGATAATTTAAATGTTCATTATGTTGTTGATTATGTTCTTTCATTAATATTAATTGTAATTATTA